TTGATTATTCACCTGTGTTTAGCAATGTTGCATCACCTAGATGGCGTGACAATGGACAATGGTCAGGTCCCAGTGAACATTTAGTATATAGTTTGGATTTTGCACGTATCGTACACTGTGTGTTTGGCTTGCAGACATATCTACTGCTCGTTAGTTTGCATATATAGTTTGAGATTGACTTATAATAAAATATTAAAATAATTTCAGTTATTAGATAATCTAAAAGATATAGATTATTACACTTACTACTATTTACAAATCCATACAAAATACAAATAAACTAAATATTAGTCCAACAATATAGGCAAAATTATGTGTAATTCGAAAACTAGTAAAAAAAATTTATAGTTATAGAATTACATAATTAGGCAATAATGCGCATATACCTAAAAACTTAAAAACGCAAAGTATAATCAAATTTTATTCAAGTTTTTCTTTGCTACTAGTAAACATTGCCACTTTTCCCAAATTCTCAAAGCAACTTAATTTTTATGATCCGGTCTAATATATATATATATATATATATATATATATATATATATTATATATATATATATATATATATATTGATAAATGTTGTATACTGCTGGAAATACAACTCTTGTCTGTTTAAGAGTGATCTATATCTTTTTTTTAAAAAAAAAGATCAAATTATATTAAAATAATTTAAATGAAAAAAATACAACTTTATGATGGAACTAAAAGTTTCATGCTATTCGGCAATCATCAGCCATATTATTCAAATAAAATTAAAACCGTTATAAAAAATACAAATTTAGCGTTGCAACGGCATCTGACGTCAATTATACGTGATCCGATATTTGCTAATCGCCGGAATCAAAGTTAGATAGTAAAAATTTTTTCCTATGCCTATAAGCAGAAACCAATTCACTATTTTTGTTAAGTAGTAGTCGACTATCAAAAGTCATAATAAAATACTTTTCATTGATGCAAAGGTTACACTTTTTTGTAGATGGGTTAAAAGATTGGCATCTTTTAATTATGTTCCACTTAATTATAGACATGTTACCCGCTTCTTTAAGTTTCCAGATTTTCTTGGAAAGCTCCGTATCATTCCTATACTTGGTTGCATTAAATGATTAAAGATGGTTTGCAAATCTGAGCTTGAATGTGTTTTCACTAATTCCGATGTAGGATTTTTCGCTAAGACTGGTATTAGGTATTGTTCTGCACATTTTATGGAATCGATAAGTAGCTTTTCTTTAATAGAAGGGTAAAAGTCAACGATGTCGGAAATAAGGAATTTATAAAAATGTTTGTCATTGATGCTTTTGAACCAATTTATTACATTTTGTGTACTATTCCACTGATTTAATTGCAAAATATTTCTAAGGTTGGTGTTAATACCTGATAAAATATGCTTACTTATTCTACCAACCTCATTCTTAGCTGGGTTAATTAGACGAACAGTAGGATTATTTAAAAAATTAGGTTTAAGGTCTTTTAATGTAATGAAACAATTGGAAAAACTGTTTATATTGATTTTGTTAAAAACTTCATGATTTTTAAGAATAGTTTTTCCTTCTTTATTAATGCGGTCTTTTATTATAGGGTTGGTTTTTTTATAATTAGATGTAATGGCGTTCGTTAATAACTTATTGTATTCGTCTTTTGATAATTTATATAAGTTTGATGTTTTGTCAGCGTGAGTGTAAGTATACGTTGATTTTCGAATAGTAGAAATGTCTTTTTTTAATTTATTTGGAAGCTAAATTGAATAATGCTAAACTGTATGTTTTTAATTAATTTGAATAAATCGCATTCAAATGCACGCATATCATTAATCTGTTGTGGACCTTGCTGTGTGTTAATACCATAAGAACTGAAACTGGTATTATTATTACTATTATTATTAATATTATTCATACCGTTAAACTGGTTATTCCTGAAAAAGTCGTTAAAAATGGAGAAAATTAACTTCAATTATTCAATAAAAATATACCTATGCCATCAAATAGAGAATACAAATTGCGATTGCTTAAAAAACCGAGATACTGATTAAAAGAATGAGATGGAAGGCATTTTTCTTCAGGAATAACCAGTCTAACGGTATGAATAATATTAATAATAATAGTAATAATATTACCAGTTTTAGTTCTTACGGTATTAATACAACGTTGTGTATTAATAACAACGTTAATACAACGTTGTGTGCCTGCTGGGATACTGCGGCTTGATAGCTCAGTTGGTCAGTGGCTGGATAGCTCAGCTGGTTAGAGCGTAAAAAGGAAAAGTTAAATCCCGGATTGTTGAAAGATACAAGTTCAAATCCTGCCACCACCAACTCAGCGCTTGAGTAGTACTTCAGTACGCAGGGTCTACATTTGCCGACTAAGTCGGCAAATGTAGACCCTGTCAATAGGTTAGTCGGTAAAGTCAGTCGGCAAATGTCGTTATGGCAGTCGGTAAGTTTTAAAAAACGAGGACCTTTTTTTTTTTTTTTTAAGACGGCAAAAGTTGTAATGGTACCCCCCCCCCCCACGTGACCCCTACTCGCGCCGGCCCTGATGCTAAGCCAACAATATCTTTGAATATAAGAAAATTGTATAGAAAAATATTGCATGAAAATTCAAATAAATAAAAAAACAAAATATTGCATTTTTACAAAATCATTATTTTTGATGTCAAAGTTTTTATTGTATTTTTATTAAACAAAGCTTAGATATCAATTAAAATATTTTTAAACATATAAGATATTCTTAATTACACAACATTCATTAATACTTTCTGAATTTATCCTGAAAAAATGTGGAAAAATAGTTTCTGCATTTTTTTAGGATATTTTTGGGAAAATATTTTTCGGATTTTTGAAATATGATCTGGATGATCACTGAGCAAAGAAATTCATAATTGTTATATAATTGGTTTATAAAAAAAAATTATACTTCTTCTTCAGACTAACCCTACTCTTATCTTGCACTTCTTATCTTTAAGATGACTAAGATTCTTTTTGTGATTGATATTATTGTTTCGGTTTATAGGCTGATTAGGTGATGATATAGGACTTTCGCCTCGCCGTTGATAATGGTGCCTCGTAATGTGTGCAACGTAATCTCTTGGATTTAGGCAGGTATTGAAGTTTTTATGTTTTCTTGTCAGTTTCAATTCAAGTCTCATTTTACCTCATGGTTTTCAACTTGGGGTAAAATGTTTGACGCTAAGTTCCATTATTCTCTGTATACCAAATCATTATTTAGGTTATAGAGACTAACATTCCATCTTTATTTCATGGTTCTGATTTTCTATTTTTTTTAACCGACCAACTAGAGACGCCTACAGCTGAAACCAGACTTAAACAAGGCCCTTTAAAGGTGGTAATATTTGGGAGCCGAGACTCTGTATTTGCTCCACTTAAGAGATTAGTAACTCTACGTTTTTCTTTTTTGTAAAGATTTTTTTCTTTATTTTATCTCTTTGATTAAGAGATTTTTCAACCTTGTTGCTACGTATACCGTTACTAAACTTTTTTATACTCTTCTACTGCTTGTGGTGCAGACTTTTTTTATCTCTATTAGCAAGGTCTTAATGTCTTTAATAAACAAACTTTTAATATCTTATCTTAAGTCTTTTCGAATAAGAACAACTTTTTATTTTACTTAATAAAGTTATACTACAATTCTAAAAACAACAATATCTGATTAAAGGTTTATTTTTATTAAGCAAATGAAAAAAATGCTTCAGTTTTTCACTCTAAATTTTACAAAATAATAGCTAAACCTTGCTTTGAATAATCTCCGTTCTCCATCGGAGATATTTAATAAAACGTCTATTGATTGAAATCATTGACTGTACCCGAATTGATTGAAATCATCTGTACGACGTGAGTTGATTGAAATTATCAGTACAATCTGAATTGTTTGAAATCAACATATTAATAATATATTTCATTCAATTCAGACCGTACATATTTGCATTGAAAATTGCAAATAAGTACGGTCCTTTTATTTACCTACCGATTTACATGTTTTTTTCTCCCAAAATGAAAAGAAAGAATGGTTTTATTGCCAAAGTCGGTCTATTTCAATTAACAATAGTTTAGACAATAAAATTTAACTAAAGGAACTTAAACTATAATAAACGATATTTTTAAAAAATTCTTTTGCCTTCACAAATAAGCTAGAGGTCAAATAAAGCCTTTAAGCTTTAATACTTTAAGTCTGTTCCGAAGCTCAAAAGACCCTAGTTTTTTTTACCATACCATAAACAGATGTTTTTATTTAATTCAATTGCAAAAACTTATCTAAAATGTTCACTTTTAAAAAATATTTAGCTGATTTTAATCAAATTAACACTTTTTAAATATAAATTAACAGGTTTTGGAATAAAGTATAAAATTACATTTAATTTTGTATAATATAAAAATTGAACTCACAATTTAAAATAAAAATATAACAGAATTATTGTTTAAGCTTTTTCATTTACCAATACAATAATAAGTTAAAAAAAAAACTATAAAATGTAACAACGCATTGTTACATTTTGTTACTTTTTTTTTAAGTACTCTAGTTTCTATACAACATCATTTAAGGCACATATATTTATTTGTAAGTACCCTTATTTCTGCACATCATCATTTAAAGTTCATATATTATATTGACCATTGCCTCTTAACCCTGTTAGATTTCCAAATGCAAGTAATTCAATAATTTTTTTTTAATTTATTATACCGGGGCAGGGGGACCGGGGGAGCACGTGCCCTCCCCTCGCTTACTTTTTTTCTATAGGATCTTTTTTTACAAATTTTTTTTACAAATTGATGATTGTGCTCCCCCTGGCCCACTTCGAAACCCGTGTCATTGGCTCTATATTATATAATTTAATTACTAAGAGTTAAATTTATCATTCACGTTGCGTTTTTATTCATCTTTGATCGTTCGTTTTTCAAAATGAAAATTTACGAGTTTGTTTTTTAAACTCATAAAATTTTAATATGTATAAGTGATATAAAATATGAATATAAGCTTTATTCATATTGATAAGTTCAAAACTTTAAATTTCAATTCCTTTAAAAAACGTGAATAAACCAAACTTCAATTGACACAAACAAAAAATGTTGATTAACAAATTGTTAAAAATCTTTATCATAGTATTTTCGGTATGTATATATATAAACTTTTTTTTCTTTATTAAAATCTAAATATGGAATAATTAATATAAATCAAGATATGGAATTCTCTACCTGATTTTATTGTTTACTCGTTCACTTTGTCTTTGTCCAAATCATATCACCATTGCACACTATTTAACTATGTTTTTAAGGTGGCCTATAACTGGACCTAGTTTTGAAATGTCTAAAATTATAGAATATGACAATTTTGATTTTCAATCAACTACTTTTGATTTTTCATACTTACTACTATTTTAAACATGAACTAATAATTTTTAAGCCTACTGCATTCTAAACCTACTGAAATTTTAACCTACTATATTTTCAACCTACTGTATTTTCGAATTAGTGTTTTTTCGATCGAACTCTACGTCTTTTCCGGTATGTATTTTATTTATTGGTAGTTGATTTGAATCAGAACTGAATTTAATCAGCTGTGGCGCAGCGACTGGAGGGTTGGTTTATAATTGAGTGGTCCAAAGATTGAGCCTGGTCTAGGTATACAAAGTGGCGTAAAATTTCTCCTAAGATGCTCTTCCGCGCAGCTCTAAGACAAAATCCGTTCGGTTTTGTCGTAGAGCCTTAACCGTTAGCACCTTAATTATTAAAAGAAAAAAAAAAATCATTTTCTAACAATTGATGTAAATGACGGTATTTTATGCTCCAAGAAGACCTATCGGTCTTATTGTAGAACACTGTTGCTGCTTAGGGCGTCTATGTTATAAAATCTTCATATGAGAGACAAAAAAGGAGAATTTTTTTAATTTTTTGCATTAATACCTGGTCAAGATATCTTTATTTATTCTGTATTGCATCACTTTATTCACTTTTTTGTATTTCCATCGGGCCTGACGGCTCGGTTTAGTCTTTTTTTTTTTTTTTTGCAAATATTTTTACTTTTACGATTTTTACTTGTTAAATTGTATCAAATAGGTATCTAGTTTCGAAATGCTTTTGCTTTACTTTATCTAAAATTTTGTCGCTAAATTTTTAACTTAAAAGATAGCAACATGGTTCTTTTCATAGTTTTCCATACCAGTTTTTTCATAAAATTTTCACAAACTTGTACAAATACTTTTGGTTTAATAATTGCCTATTAAAATTGTGATTTCTGTATATCATTAGTAAAATTGCTGACAAAGGTTATTATTTAATTTAGTTTATAAGGCTTCATACCTCAAATAGAATTTAGTAAGGCTTAATGCTAAAATTAATCATGTTGATGCAAATATAAAGAATTATGAATGTTTTGTGTTTAAATTAATTTTCAAATTAAGTAATTACTGAAAGATGTGATGTTTTAAATATTTATTTTATAGATGTTTATCAGAGGAGCTTGTAAACCTGAAGCAGGTAAAATTGTTTATTCTTATTTTTGTTTATTTGTACAATTCCATTAGACTTTGAAATAAAGTACTAATAGAATTCCATTGGAGATTGGAACAAATACTAATATGTTTTGATTCTATCTAATTAATTTGTTCCAACAACTCTATTGTGATTATTACAACGACATTTAGTTTAAAATAATAGAAAAAGGTAAAATTTACTACGTATAGCTTTTCAATTATTGTATGTATTTAAAATAAATATGTTTTGTATTATTTTACAATTGTTCAAAGTAAAGCATATCAGAGAGTGTAGGTAAGTGAATTAGGTTTGTTGTTTTACTTAAGAAAATAGACTTAAAAAACAGACTACCTTGGGAATGATATGCAATATACTCTTTTTATACTTTAATAAGGTATAGTTTTAAACCTTTTAAGGTAGAAAGTTGCATTACAAATACAAATTTTTCGTACAATTTTCTAGCTTAAAGTTAGAACTTGAAAGGTAGAAAATAATACATTACTAAGGGTATACCTTATTAAACGTATACCACATATTCTACCCTAAGGTATAAATTTCTTCCTTTTTTTGATTGTAGTGTATGCATTTATAATAGAAAAACTAAAAAAAGCAAGACATACATAAACGTAAACGAATAAAGAAATCACATTATAAAACATGTTTTTCTACTTGAAATTTTAGAACAGTCCTTATTCCTCGCGTCATTGAGTCAATAATAGAATCACAATATTTGGTAGTTACTTTATGCAATCAATGACTCTTGACAAAACGTCTTTTATCTGTGCGGGTACTAACATCCATACTCTGACTGTTTTATGAACTTTAGTAGGACACTTAACAGACAAAACCACATAAAGCATTCACAGTTGGATAGATTAAAGTTTTGTGCCTGAGGCGACAACAAAATTTTGATTTTAACAATTCGGACAGTGACAACAAAATGTTGATTTTGATAATTTGGAACGTTGTGAGTTAAACTTAAGTTCAATAGTTTAATGGAATTGGATTCTAGATTAACTCCGCGCTGCTTAGCAATTGAACTCATCGTACTACAGAATACCACTTATAATGACTTCCTAGCTCAGTATTTGGATTAAAAATATCGGCTTAGTCAGCAAGCGAAAACCTAAAAAAACCTCATTTATTTGCATCGCACGTTTGACTGGCTTGAATATACAACCACCGGAGATAAGAAGCGCCAGTTGCGAAGGCTAGTGGAAGCGCCAGCGGCTAGGGTCAGAACAAAGGTCAAAACTAACATTGAAAGTCAGCCTACTGTGCTCAACTTAACATACTTCAAGCGAAACTTATTAAAAAGCTTCCGAGACACGATTTTTACCTTCTTCATGATATGCTAAAATGACGCAGCTAAAAAAAAATTTATTTGTTTATTTAAGATGTCCCAAGAAGTCCATACGGTCTTATCACAGAGCACTGTGGGGAGCATTTGCAAAGTAGTTCATGCCTTTTTCCTTACCAATGTTATAACACCTGCCTAGAGGCGGCGTTGAACCACGGAGCTTCTTAGGAAAGCGCACTAACCACTGTGGTACGGCTGCTCTTTAATTAAATTAATAAATTAAATTAAATTATTAAATTAATAAATTAGCATTAAATTAATTTAATGCTAATTTAACTTATAATTATCAGTGCTTGGCTGGTAACTACTTTTTAGCCAGCTCTTTTTAACTTATAAATAAAAGTAATAACAGCTGTTTTTTGTTTTTTTTTAATAATTTTTCCAAATTAAGTTTTAAAATTGTGTCTAAAATATCTAAAGCCCATTTAAGCTCTAGGATTTTAGATTTAGTTTATATTTTAATCTCTAACTTCAAGTGCTGCAATATGTTTGCAATTTTAGCTCAGTTGATTTATTCTAACTGTTTTATTTTTATTTCAGACTTCAGGTGACCCACTTAAAAAGTTTAAAGTTGATAAATTTTGGGACCGGTATGGTTACGAAAAATTAGGTCAATTAACAACGCCACATTCGGAGTGTGGTAGAGAAAAATATTTTGCAATGCTTCCATTTTTCTTTAGGTGTATTGGACATAGTACGTCGCTACGATGTTTTTGGATCTTTTGAACATTTCTTTGGCTAACTCTATATATTCACATGCAGATCTTGACTTGGTCTTAATGAATGAAATCATTAACTGCCAAATTGTTGATGGTAGAGTAGGGCTTTTTTCCTATGTGTTTCAATAAATGAATTATTGTTTTATAAAGTTGTTATGGAATGTAGTTATCTAATTAAAAGTTATTTTGAAAAAAAAACTACAATTAAAAAAAATCTAAAACAACCTAAAACACTGGAGTTTAGGGGCAAAACATGATTGCAATTGTTCCAGAATTCTACAAGAATATTTAGGAATTTTTAAATAGAATCAACTCAAAAATGTCAAGTTTGTAATTTTAAACGGTTTTAAAAAAAGCCAATCTTTGGAGTTATTTAAGGAAACACCTTTGTTGCTGATGTGACATTTGGAAGTTAAAAAAAAAATTACGATAATTTTGTTGCTGCTGGATCAATTAAAAGCAAAAACTTTGAATATGGTTAAAGGCTTACTTATTGTTCTAGATCTAGAGTAGAGAGAGAGAGAGAGAGAGAGAGAGAGAGAGAGAGAGAGAGAGAGAGAGAGATAGAGAGAGAGAAAGCAAAAAGAACAGTTTGTTCCTGGTGCCAGATGCCCCTGCAAAGAGGTTGTTAACCATCTTTTTAGAAAACGTTCTACTTTGCTGAGTTAAGAAGTCTTCAAAGCTAAAGATTGGGATTTAGGTATTTTACGGTAATCAATTTTCAAGGAATGTAAATCAATTTTCAAGAAATGGTTGCTGTAGCTTTTTAAAAGAATGCAAACGTATTTTAAGATAAATCATGTGCATTTTAAGCTAAACGTTTGTTAAAATTTTATGTTCTTCAGAAGCTCTATTAATTCAAGTTATAGATATTAGATTAGTATATATTATAGACATTAGAGATATCAGAATGAATAATTCCATAAAAAAATCAAGCATTTCGCACCATTACTTTTTCTTACCAGTTTTAAATTGTAACTACAAAAGTAGATTATACTATGTACAGGAACAGAGAAAAAATCCATTTATATTTGTAGAGTTTAACGCCTTAGACTAGTTTTTATAATGCTTTTTTTTAATTAAATATGACATTATGGATAGTTTAAAGAATTTTGTTACAAACAGATGTATTTCCTACCGTTAACCTAACGGTAGGAAATGAGCTTGCAAATTTCTAGCTTTAAAACAATTTTAAGGCAATTCTTTTTATAACGTTATTGTTTCATTTTGTCTTCTGCATCTGAAAAATGTGATTTTAAGTATCGGATCTAACATAATTATAATAATATGCAAACTCATAAATATGCTGACGTTTTCTAGATATCGCAGGTTTATTGCTATTTATATTAATACAATATCATTAGCTACAAACCGTAGTGTTGTAGCTTGTTTAGACGCAAAAAAAATTTTGCGCCTATATATATATATATATATATATATATATATATATATATATATAGGCGCAAAAATTTATATATATATATATATATATATATATATATATATATATATATATATATATATATAATTTGTAATGTATTGCTTACAATATTATGTAATATATTGCTTGAAACATATATAAATTAAAAAAAAAAGGAAATTTAGTGCATAAAAGACTTTTTAAATTTCTTAGCAAACATGCTAGAGCGGAGTTTCAGCGGATCTATATATGCATTTTGAACGGACCGCTGTAGTTTTGCTTATCGGTTACTTGGTGGACCATTAATGGCAGCCAAAAGTGGCTTGCCGACAATTAACCATCATTAAAATGTCTGAAACTTATAGGTTTGCCATTTATAGCGACTGCCACTAATGGTCTACTAAGTAACCGATTAAAAAATTACAATAAACCGATAAAAAATGCCTTTATAGCCCATGGCAAATACACTATATCAATGTTTACTGGGTTGGTACATTTTATTTTAGATGTAATATGCGAAGGAAATTCAAAGGTAATAACATGTCCAGAAAACTCATTGATTCAAATTGAAAGTGCATTTTATGGTCGTTTTAACAATGAAACATGTCCAACCGAAATAAGTTCAGATTTAAACCCATGCAACTCATCAAATGTCACAGCTGGTGTTCAAAAGTTGTGTAATGGAAATAACAGTTGTTTAATTGTTTCTGATAATTCTAAGTTTGGACTCGATCCATGTCAGCGAACCAGGAAGTACACTATAGTTAATTATACATGTTTTTTACAACGTAAGTATACACGGTTGTATCTTTGCATAATGTTTTTGTATTATATAACATTTAATGAAACTCCTATTGTCCAATAAGTTATTTATTTGACTATAAATCAAGCAGGTTCTTTGGTCTCTTCAGAACTTATTTGTAAGCTCTTTTAAGTAAACTCCCTAAATTTAAATTTACTCACATTTAAAAAATAAAGTAATCCGAACAGATTTTCGAAACCCCTGGAAGCTTTTTTTATTATGTAATTTGAATATAGACTTTAAAGCCGGATTTCTTTTTATATTTCAATATTTTACCATAATAAATTTGAACTCCGTGATGCAAATGCTTCAATATGCTTGAAGTGTTTGAGTGTTTTGAGGTTTTAAGATCTTTTATGAATTTAATTGCACGCAAAAAACACAAAAAAAAAATGACTCCAAAAAGAAATCATAATAACTAATTAATGTTTTCTTTTTGATTGACCGACCAAATAAAAATTTTGAATAGATTAACCATGCTTGTAAATGATTGAGAACTACATTTAGAATTACTCTAGCAAACAAAGAAGGTTAGACATAATGAAAGCATCTATTAATAACTTAAATATTGTTTCATCGTTGCATTAAATAACTATTTAATTATTTAACAAGTACTATGTAAATATTTAATTGCAATATTTCAACAAGTACTAGAAAGTACAAAAGGCATCTGATTTATGCCTTTGCAATAAATCATATATAATTTACTTATATTGCAAAACTTTTGACTATTTAAGAATCAGAGTGGTTGTTAATCGAATAAGTTTAAATAAAATCAAATAAAATCAAAAAACAAACGTAGAATAAATTTGGAGTTTTTTATTTAAAACAAATGTTAAAAATTAGAAATTTCATTTCCATGCCTTAGGCGAAAAATAATTTTGAAAAAAAAAGTTTATAATAAATAACAAAATTGTCAGTTCATGATCAAAATTGATATTTTGGCGTTCATCCATCACGCTAAAACTTTCATTTTACGACTATAAACATTAACTCATTAGGTATCGTAAAAATAATTGAATAATACAACATCTTTTAATATTCATTAAGAATTAACGAAATTAACTTATTTTGATGTCGCATTGAAACATTTTTCCAAAAATAAAATCCTTTACAAAATTAAACATTTTTTTTAAAATAAAAAATGCGCTTAAGTAAAACCAAATAATATACTATGGAGATATCTCATAATATACTATGGAGATATTTTTACTTATTTAAATCTGATGTAGTATAAGATTTTTACTAATAAGTTTTTAACCAAATTTTTAATTTATAGCAGGGCGGACGACACCGGCGGGGCCGGGGGCACGTGCTACTCCCCCCCCCCCCCCACTTTTTTTCTAAAGGGCCTTATTTTATTTTTTATTTTTCAAGAAAATTCTAGATATATAGCCAATTTTTTAAGAAATTGCCGAAATTGCAAGGTACACAAAGCTACAAACTGCAACTTGATTTTTCACAAGTTTTCCTTAAAACTTGCACCTCTGGCGTTTCATTTTCGACAAACTTTAAGCACTTTTTGTACTTTTTTTGGCTTTCTAGTCAGGAGTTTCTAGTTATGCTGTTCCATTTTTAACATATGTTCGTTTTAATAGCTTTGCGTCTTCTCCTTCTCTTAACTTGCTTCTTCTGTAAAAGCTTGACCAGCCACTGTTCTAACATTTCTGTTTTTTTTGGCAGTATGATTGTAAGCGTTTTGGAATTGAAATAACTTCAAGAGAGGTCTTTCAAGACTGATTTTTACGCGAGTCACCAATGCTCGAGAAGTTAAATTTAAAGTTGAAATTGAAGTTGGAGTTGCAGGCAGAGTTAAGGTTTGTGTTTGTTGAGTAATTTGAGGCAAAGAACTTGGGCTACGTGGTGATTTTGTAACTGCTGATGATGTCATTGAGGCATTATTAAAAGTTTGACAAATTTGTAATTTTGATTTGTCAATGTTATCTTGATTTAATATAAAGAGCCAAGTGTTTTTAAAACCAGCAATAATTTAAATACGAGTGTAAGCTTTGTTGCTTCTATACAACTGTGCAAGGAGACTTGGGAAAATGTTTTCAGACAAATTGCTAAAACCACTTTCAGCATAAAAATGCATAGCTTTACAAAAATCTATTTTTACAAAATCAAAATGTGTTTTTAAAACATCAAAATAACAGGAAATAATTTCTGGTGTACATGACCCTGGTCTCAAAGATGTAATGTTTGTAGTTGTTCTTTCGCTTAATTCAGAGTGCTATTGACTCATAAATCCTTTGTACCATTTACGACCAGGCGTTCCATTTTCGAAGAAACACATTTCATCGTTTTAAATTAAATAATCTCTCACAAAACTTTGAACTTGATCTGTTCGTCTACCAAAGCTCTAATTGCAAAGCATCTGAAAAAGGTGCACTAAGGTTAACTAAATAAAAGGGCTCAATTTTGTTGTATTGCCACTACCAACTACTTAAGTCTTATTTGATTTTCGGTTTGATAACGTTGAGTTTGGTGTGCGGTAGAATTAGGCTGCGCCTCTTAAGCTTAACTCGCCAATTTCAATCTTATTCAATGCGTTTTTTATTGCCTTCTCTGTTTAAGGCTTCTCAATTGTTTTATTTTTTGCCAAAAATTCAGTCAGTGTAAAAAAAAAAAACATTTATTAACTTTAACATAATAGAAAAATTCAATTAGAGTGAAAAAAAAACAAAAACAGATCAACCTATGTAATTTTAATTGATTAAAAGATGGATTTAATGTTTTAAGGTTTAAGGTAAAAAATAAAGAATATCTTATTTCCGTCATAACTTTTTAACGGAGTAAGATTATGAAATTCTAAAACTATTTTTGAAATTAGCAGAATATTTCCAACAAAATAGCTTCCTTAATTTTTAAATTGCCTTTTTAAATCTTTTATACTAAGAACCTAATTTCCAAAAAAAAAGTTTAACTTTTAAGGTTAGATTTTGTTTGAACTTAAATATCTTATTAAAGCAATCATCTGAACAATTTTTTTTTTTTTTTGAAATTTTTTAAGTTTCCATACACTAAAAATATTAAAAACTTTTTTAAATTTTGCAAATATCTTTATTTTTAGTGAAGATGTTTAGTTTTTTCGATAAGTGTCCGCTTTTACGTACTGTCTGGTTTGTGGTTTTTTACATTATTAAATTTTCAATGTCTTGAGACTTTTACTAACCTCGTAAAGTTGTATTTTGCGATCGTGTTGTATGTTGTCAATAGTATTGACAAATTAAAACCTCGTCATAAAAATGTTCTTGCAACCCGGTTGAAACAAACCACAATCTTTAAAGTGTTATAAGTAATGATACTATTTTTTATTTTATTTTTATTTTTATTTTTGCAAATGAAATAATTGTTATACTGTAAGTAATTTGATATACCGTTTACAAACCGTGTCGTAGATAGGTGGCACTTTTACTTATTTTGCTATAAAAACGGGTTTTTCGGCAAAAAAAAAAGGGTTTTTCGGCATAATCTACGGGAGTAAGACGTGTTTTAAGTAAATAAAAAAGCAATGGAAATCACTATGAAAAACATTGAAATATTAATATCAAATAAATTAGATGAACATAGAAAAAGGATTTTAAAGGAAACACAAAAGCTACTCAAGGGACAAGAGAAAACTTTTACTTTAATTGTAAGTGGCAACCTTAAAATCATATCAGATAAACTTAACGTGATGGAGAAAGAAATTTTAGAAAACAAATCAAAAATTGAAAATATAGAAAAGGATCTTAACGACGTTAAAGATCCTTTTCTAAGTCTAAATTTCCAAGAAGAAAAAACTTTAGAAAAACTTAAAAAAATTAAAAAATACTTCGACAACGAAATCAACGTATTGTACACAAGAACAACAGATTTGGAAAATCGATCACGTCGAAATAATCTCAGAATAGATGGACTAATAGAAAAACCAGGAGAAAGTTAGAGCGAGTGTGAAATTGCATTGAAAGAAATTTTTAATAAAAATCTTAAAATATCAAGCAAAGTGGTTATTGAAAGCGCCCATCGAATTGGCCCAATTAATAATAAAAAACCTAGAACAATAGTATTTAAACTCTTAAATTTCCAGGATAAAAACAAAATCCTTTATGCTGTAAAAAATCTTAAAGGAACTGGTGTGTATATTAACGAGGACTTTTCGCAAGAAACGATTGAACAACGAAGGAAACTTTGGGAAGAGGTGAAACGACTTCGAAGTGAAGGTAAATACGCCATTTTAAAATATAATAAAATATTTAGTCGAGATTTTAAAAAGTAGCGATGCGTATTTTTTCTTAATTTTTTTTTTTTTTCTTATAAAGCGCTTTTAATTTCTCATTTTAAGCGTAACGAATAACGAAACAAAAGATTTTGAAACGCTGCACTTTAATGTCTTTGAAACGGCAAATAATGTTATACTCAACGATTTGAATGACGCAGATGCGCAGATTTTTCGCGGAATAAATTTTGGTTCTCAATATTTTGAAACAGAAACTTTTAAAACTGAACTTACAACTTTAAGGAATAAATTCACTGCATTACATATAAATATAAGAATCATAAATAACAACATTGATAAGCTTAAGCAATTTCTAACCGAATGCAATTATTTATTTAGTATGATTTGTTTAACCGAGACATGGTGTTCTGACGAATCGTCCAGAATAAATTCAAACTTAGATATTCCTAATTACAAATTAATATCTTCTGAAAGAAAAACTAACAAAAGGGGAGGGGGAATTATTAACTATATTCGAACTGATCAAGCCACCAAATATAGACATAACCTTTCTACCTCAGATGCCGATAGTGAGGTCTTTACAATTGAGATAACAACAAATAACAAATCAAAAAACATATTAGTCTCCACATGTTATAGACCACCTGATGGTGATATAACAAAATTTTCTAATCATTTAAAACAAATTTTTTATGAAAATAACAATGAACAAAAAAAACTATTTTGTATTGGAGACATTAACATTGATTGCTTACAATACGATA